CCCCATGTGTATCCCTAGTCTTTGTAACACACACACACACACACACACACACACACACACACACACACACAAATATGTAAGTAAAATAAAATGAATATTTGAAAATATAGGCCAATATAAGATAAAGAAGACTGTCACCCAGGATGGCCAATTTAAGAAGTTACTTTTTTTTCTTCTTCAAGTCTTGTCCATACAGGAATAGTGGTATAGCTTAATGGTAAAGCATTGTCTACCACATGTACACAGCTCAGGACTGATCCTCAGTACTGAAAAAAGAATAGTTCAGTTAGATCAGTGTTTCTCAACCTTTGGGTCATGACTTCTTTAGCGATCTTTTCACAGGGGTCACATATCTGATATCTTACATATCAAATATTTACAAGTCATAACAGTAGCAAAATTACAGTTATGAAGTAGAAACGAAAATAATTTTATGGTTGGAGGTCACTACATCATGAGGAACTGTATTAAAGGATCACAGCAATAACAAGGTTGAGAACCACTGATTTCGATATTAAAACACATAACTATGATGGGACCTATATATAGGTCAAATTTGTTTAAAAATTATAATTTACAGGTCAGTGAGATGGCTCAGTGCAACCCCTGCCACCCATATGGTGGAAGGAGAGAACTCAAAAGTTGCGTTTTGACCTCCATGTACAGGTCTTGCCTCACATTTTAAATAAATAAATGTAATTTTAAAACTAAAATAATGTAAAATGATGTATAGTTGTTAGGAACATAAGTGAAACCATTTTATGTAACATGAAAACCATTTTATGTGGCTTGGAATAATGTAATTGTATGGAACACTAAAGTTGGCTCAATATACCCCAAGACCAAGTTCTCAGCACAAAGGAGATTTATTTGTCGCAGAGGGATAAGGAGAAGGTCAGGAGAACAAGGGAGAGGGCGAAGGGGTATGGGGTATTTGTGGCAGGGCTGGGGGTTGTGTGGCACTGGAGGACGAACAACTGGACTGGATAAAGGACTATCTATGGATAGAGAGGAGACACACATGGGCATGGCACATAAATAGCGGTTTAAAAAAGTAAAAGGGGTGCCAGGTGGTGGTAGCATACACCTTCACTCCCAGCACAGGAGGCAGAGGCAGGACAATCTCTGAGTTTGAGGCTACAGAGATAGCTCCAGGACAGCAAAGGTTATACAGAGAAACCCTGTCTCGAAAACCGAAAACCAACATAAAGGTAAAAGGAGAAACCCAGTGTTAGGATGAGGTGTTTAATTTTAATCGGGCATGTTAATTAGGAGAGCCGAAGGGGGCTTTTGGTTGCTGGACTTTGTCAGGGTCTGATGCCAGCCCATATTTCTATATTTACAAATTTTACCCCCGATATTACTGTCCTGCTTTATTATATGTCTTTAAATTCTATTCTTTATTTCTGAGCACTCATGCTCATACTCAGGTATACACCTGTGGTGAAATTTTTCTCTTGTGGATTCCTCACATTCTCCTCTGTACTTCTGGTCACTTCTCCAGCATTTCAGCGGTCAGCCCCACCTTGTAGGTGCCACTATGTCGGGGTCCAACTCCAACATAAATTATCTCTCTGGACAGGTGTGGAGGCATGGGAATAATTGAGACACAGTTCACACAGCAATATTGGAAGGGAGTCTCAGGGTTCATTCAAATCCTGAAGATCACCCGCATTTGCATTTAGTCTCCAAACATCTTTTATCTCTCAAGGTAAACTGAGAGGGAAATTCATTAGCATTTTGTTTCCGGAGTAGCAGGACTACAGTCCTGTCTGCAGCTCTGTCATTAGCTTGGAATTAACACCTCTTCTCAGGCGATCTCCATAATTACAAAGGAGCAGCACAATGTCAGCGCATCCAGAGCTCAGGAAACAGCCAGTCTGAAGATGCTTTCAGCACCTCAGTTGCTACTGTGGCTTGAGAGCCTCGCTGCTGATACAATGCAGAAGTAAGTGGCCTGTATAAAATTGCCCCATAGGAATTCAGTACTTTGATAGCTGGACCTTGGAAGTGAGTCACAGGAGGAGGAAGTGGCCAAATAAGGAACTAGACCTTGGCGGCTAGATTTAGGAATATAATCTAATGGCTTTTAGCAAGGCAGAGGGAATGGGAGAGAAGGGCAAGGCCTGCCAGAGCCTTGCTTATACACTGGAGCTAGTCAGAGTCCCTTCTGTAATGCTTGCAAGACTGAATGAACCAGCCACAGGACTGCTCTGAGTTGATCCAAATCTACATGTTAGATGTGTTAATGAACCTCTGGTATATTAATGAGCCAACCCCAAACTGACTCCAATATGCTGATGAATCAGCCCTAAACTTTGAGCCTTGATAATGTAAAGCTAACACCTGTTGGAACAATAAAAATATTAAATTCTGAGCTGATCTTGTGTTCTGCTTCATTACTGAAGGTGTTTATCAGCTGTAGGAATTTCCTGGTAGAATTTTTGGGGGGATTTATGTATGCTATCATATTACCTGTGAATAGCAAAAGTTTGACTTCTTCCTTTCCAATTTGTATCCCCTTAATCTCCTTTTGTTGTCTTATTTTTCTAGCTAGAACTTCAAGAACAATGTTGAATAGATATGAAGAGAGTGAACAGCTTTGTCTTGTTCCTGATTTTAGTGGAAGTGCTTTGAGTTTCTTTCCATTTAATTTGATGTTGGCTGTCAACTTTTATTATGTTTAGATGTGTTCCTTGCATCCCTGATCTCTCCAAGACCTTTATTATGAAGGGATAATAAAGGGATGAAGTTGGATTTTGTCAAATACTTTTTCAGCATCTAATGAGACAATCATATGCTTCTTTTTTTCTTTCAGTTTATTTATATAGTGGATTATATTGATAGATTTTCGTATGTTGAACCATCCCTGCATTTCTGGGATGAAGCCCACTTGATCATCGTGGATGATTGTTTGGATGTCTCCTTGGATTCAATTTGCCAGTATTTTTGCATCAATGTTCATGAGGGAGATTGGTGTGTAATTCTTATTCTTGGTTGAGTCTTTGTGTGGTCTCAGTATCAGGGTAACTGTAGCCTCATAGAAAGAGTTCAGCAATGTTCCTTCTGTTTCTATTATGTGGAACAATTTGAGGAGTATAGTTATTAGCTCTTCTTTGAAGTTCTGTTAGAATTCTGTGCTAAAACTATTGGTTCTTGGACTTCTTTTGGTTGGGAGGCTTTTGATGACAGCTTCTATTTCTTTTGTAGGTTATAGGTCTGTTTAAATTCTTCATCTGGTTTCGGTTTTATTTTGGTATGTGGTACCTTTTATTCCTTAAAAAATGCTGGTGTGACCCTGGCGGGCTCGCAGAGCAACCGAGCAACCGCTAGTCTGGCAGAGACAGCTGTGGGTCCCTGCAAGGTCCCCAGGGGCCATGTCAAAGCAGGCAGGAGCGTGTCCTGGGCAGACTGGCTGTGGCCAGGCAGGCAGGAGACAGAGACATGGACATGTAAAATGAGATTAAAATATTTATTCAGTGGGTTATGGAGGAAAAGGGGAGGGGGAAGAGAAAGAATGAGACAGGGAGAAGGACAGGGAGAGAAAGAAAGACAGAAACAAAGAAAAGGAGAGAGAGAAAAGACAGAAAACACATGTGCATACGCCAAGAGAGAGAGAAGAAAGGGACCAAGATGGAGAAGAGAGGTCAGAAGTCGCTGGGAGTGGGCATGGCTTGCCCCTTAAAGGGACCAGAGATCAAAAGGAATAACAGTACCTATCTAGAAAATTGTCCATTTCTTCTATATTTTCCAATTTTATGAAGTACAGGTTTTTATAGTATGACCTAATGATTCTCTGGATTTTCTCAGTGTCTGTTGTTTTCATTTCTGATTTTGTTAATTTGGATGTTCTCTCTCTACCTTTTGGTTAGTTTGGATAAGGGTTTGTTTATCTTGTTGATTTTCTCAAAGAACCAGCTCTTTTTTTTCATTGATTTTTTGTTTTGTTTTCTTTGTTTCTATTTTATTGCTTTCAGCCCCCAATTTGATTATTTCCTGTTGTTTCCTCCTGGGTGAATCTGATTTTTTTTTTTGTTCTAGAGCTTTCAGGTGTGCTGTTAAGTCATTAGTGTACTATTTCTCCACTTTCTTCTTTTCCCAATTGTTCAAGGATTTTATTGTATGAATTCACTTTGTGGGGACAGTGACATGGATTGCCTTCCAGATCATCAAAAATGGCCTGGAGGCTAAGCCTACAGACACTGGAATTCCAAATGTAAAGAGTTTATTATCTGTCTTCTTTAGTCAATAACAGAGCTCACTGTGCAAGAATTTAGGCAAGAAATAGTTGAAGTAAAACAGTATTTCTTAAAAACCAGAGCCTCCACCAGCCACTGGGCATTTCTCAGCTGTCTGACCGGCAGTGGACTCACTCGGGTCTTTTGGTCTCTTCCCTTCCAATCAGTAGCTTGAAGGGAGGTCAGGGTCACTGGGTTCTGACAGCCTGCCAGATGAGCATGGCAGGCCCTACCAATGCTGCTAGAATCTCATGCAAAACTGACAGACACTCTGGCACAAACCACTGTTAAACGTTCTCGGCTGTTTGGAAAATCATTTCTGACACTCTAGCGTCAGCTCAACAGTCACCTTGTGCTGAAGATAAACGAACCCTAAACGTACACATCTCACATCACAGCTTCTGCCAAGTTACTAGTTACTAGTCACCTAATTAGAGAGTACTCTGCCACTTCATCAAACAGTAACTTTACCACAAAAGGAACAGCGGGAAAGGACTTCAAAACTCACTAATAAGTTGGACAATTTTATGCAGAAACTGCCAAAGTCTTAGTGTTTAATAATTAAGACAACTGACCAAGATGTAAAGATACCAAGTTTGAGAAACTGGGGGTGTTGGGGGGACACTCTATGGACTATGCAGGCTGTGATAAGAATGCATGCTTTATAAACTTGTCGACACATAATAGTTGCAGAAAGCCACTTGGCTTTCTCTTGGCTTGGAAAAAACGACGTTCTGGATTCACTGTGAATATCAGCAGCCTTCAACTCTTTTGCACAGTACGAATCTTGTTTTTGCCTTCCAGTTCTTCCACTCCAGCCTGGGTCATGAGGTCAGCAATATTTTTTTCTAGGTTGTCAATGTGACTGTTCATGTTATCAATCCTTCCAATGATCTGATCGGACATGATCTGAAACTTGTCTTGCATCTGCTTCTGGAGTGTCTCCAGCACCAAGGTGATGTCCTCCATGGTCTTGGGGTCCGTCTCGGCCATCTCCCTGGTTCCCAGCTTGGCTGCGATGTCTCGGAACTGTCACCTACACTCTATTTCTCCATTCTCTGTATGTAGACAGTTAGTGCTATTAACTTTCCTTTTAGCACTGTTTTCAGAGTGTCCCAAAGGATGCTCAATCATACTACAAGGGCATTTGTTCAGCTATGTTCATAGCAGCATTATTTGTAATAGCCTGGAAACAACCTAAATGCCCCTCAACTGAAGAATGAATAAAGAAAATGTGGTACATTTACATAATGGAATACTACTCAATGGTAAATACAGTAACATCTTGAAATTTTCATGCAAATAGATAGAACTAGAAAAAAAACCATCCTGAGTGAGGTAAACCAGACCCAGAAAGATGAACAGGGTATGTATAGGGCCCACAAGTCTACCCCTCCTCCCAGCGTTCATATCAAGGATAGCTTGAAGTTTCTGGCAAAATATCTTGTTGCAGTTTCTGGCAAAATATCTTGTTTGTTCCTGTGCTCGCTCTGCCCACCCTGGTGGTTAGCTACAGGGGAGTTGTTTGCTCCATCTTGAGACTGGTAATTTGTCACCTGCCTGTGGGATGGCCACTGTTAGGTATTTAACAGTGGGATGCAGCTGTTAGGTATTTAAGGCTTTCTCTAAGCTTGAATACATGTCATTATGCATTCTCTCTTCACGAATGAGCCACATCTCTTGTGTTCTTTAATCTCCAGTCCCTTTCCTGACTCACAAACTGTCCTGTTGCACACACGCTACAGTTGGAGGCCACCAGCGAGATCGGGAAGTAGGGACCCCTGAGAGATTGCCCTCAGAAGGCTGGCCAGCAGGTAAGATATTGAAGGTGAGGGTGAATTGAAGATGGGTGCTAGTAATTCTGTTCAAGTAGTGTCTGACCAATTGATAGTTCTTTTAATGAATCAAGGCACCTTTATTAAAACTAAGACAGCACAAGAATACATTAAGACAGTTTTAGAATTTAGTCCCTGGCTTCTGTAAGCAGGGGATTTTAATTCTTGATTGGAAGCAGGTAAAAGCTGACCTTCAAAAGTCTTTAAAAGAGCGAGGGCCAGAAGAATTTCCCAAACAACGTTTTCGTTATGGTGTTTAGTCAAAGATGCTCTTCTCAGTGATAATGTAAAAGTGAAAGAACAATTAGAGAATTTGGTCAAAACCTTTGAGGAGATTTGGAATGAAGTATCTGTGAAATCTATTAAGAGCTTTGAGGAGGGGGAAGTTAAAAGTACTAAAAGGGATATAGAAGAGGTAGAAGAGACTTCAGAAAGGGAGATTGAGGATGGGGAGAGCTTGGGGGAATGGAGTGGTTGGGATGGAGTGTTGTGGGAGTAACTTCCGCTGCCTCAACCAATAGTCGCTGAAATACGAGCCCACAGTGCAGGGGGGAGCGACTTCTGCTCCGTCAGCCAATAGCCGCTGAAATACCAGCCCACTGGGGCGTGGTATATTTCTCTTTTAAAAAGAGAAGCAGATCCGGATCAGGCCCTCTTGGTCCCGGCTCTTGGTTCCAGTGCTTGCTCCTGGCTCCTGCTCCCGGCTCCTGCGACTAGGCTCCCTTCCTGACGGTTTATGGTGTATGTAAGTTTTACCCCCCAAAATAAATAACCCCTTAAAACATAACTGGTGTGGGATTGATTCACCGACAATTGACGCCCAACGTTTGGTTTAAGAACCACCCCCCCACCCCCAGCTCGGCCTCCCAGGATACACAGGTCCGGACCGTCTCTGCCGGCTTACTTTGCCCTGTTCGGCACAGATTTTTAAATTTCTTCTTGCAACGTGAGTCAAAGAGCTCACAGCGCAAGCTCCCTTTGAAGTTCCAGCAAGCTGTTTGAAACCCCTGCCATCCGCCATAACTGATTAGGAGTGCTGCAAGCAGCTTGACCCTTAATCCCAGCACAGGGACACAGGGCCCAAAGCACTAGGCCTCTTTAGCAACAGTGCAGTGGCTGTGTCACGACCCTCTGCATCCAGTTGAACAGAGCAGCAGGGCCTTGTTTATTGCCTTGTTTACTGGCCACTAGAAGCTCTCTGACCTTTTGTGATCTGTGGATTTAACCTCTGGATTTGAGTGTATATATTCTAGAGTTTACTTCCTCAATCAACACCACTGCCACGTGGATTCAGGTGCGCCCCACCTCCTACTGGCAGGCAACGGTCATTACAGGTAAGATTTTT